AAGAAAGTTTTTGGAATATTTGAAAAATTGTGTGACATTTGTTTAATTTCAATTGACAATTAGTATTAGTGCATGTCTGAAATATGGAGGAAAAGAGGAGATGATGCTGAGAATTTTGAATTATTTTATTTTGAATATTAAATGAAGCAATGATTTATAAGTAAGAAAGTTTTGAAAATTCTAAAAAATGTGGGGAAAATTTGTCAAATTTTTATTGAATATTTTGTTGATTGTTTGAAATAACAGGAAAGAGAATTTTGAATTTGATTACAAAATGATAGTATTTTTTTTATATTTGTATATTGTGTGGAAGAAGAGATGATGCTGATAATTTTGCATGACTTGATTTTGAATATTAAGTGAAGTATGACAAATAGAAAAAAGAAATTTGTCTAATTTTTTATTTTTTATTTTTGTATATTGTTTGAAATAATAGGAAAGATAATTTTGTTTACCAAATGACAGAATTTTTGAATATTTGAAAAAAATTGTGTGATTTTTGTTTAATTTTGATTTTGATTATAGTTGCATGATTGTCTGAAATCTGTGAGCGAGAGGAGACAGGTGGAGATCATGCAGAAAATTTTGAAAATGTGGATGAAGTGAGACTTTTAGTGTGAGTTTTTGTAGAAATTAACAAAATTTAACATTTTAACATTTTTTGTCCTGAGGCATTTTAAAGAGAGGAAAGATTGTAAATGTGTAAATATAAAAGAAGTGACACTTGTTATGACGGCAATTAAAGGCCCAGTTTACTCTCGTCTGTTCTCGTGTAGTTTCCTCATCACAAACAAAGTGGAACAGAGTGTTCAGAGTTTTGGAGATGGAGACAGACTAATAATGCAGAGTTACTCAAACATGTGAATGAAACAAAACACAAGTCCAGCTCAGTGTGTGAGGAAGTGACAACATGACAACATGTCAAACAAGAGTCATTTGAGTGTCGTCTCGGAGCTTCAAAAGCAGATTCAAGTCATGGTTCATCCCTTTCATCTGTCTTTATATAAACACACCATTTCCTCGTACTTTTTTCTGTATAAATAGTAGTTTTTGCATGAGCTCCCCCTGCAGGTGCATGTTACTGAGTTAAGACAAAACAGCAGCATCACCATGGAGACCAGCAGATGGAAGATCCTCTAGAAAAGTTACACAGTGCACCTTTAAATATTACTGTCAATGAATTTCATATACAGCAAAAAGTAGTGTAGTGTTTGTGTAGTGTAGTGTTGGTGTAGTGTTGTGTAGTGTTGTGTAGTGTTGGTGTAGTGTTGTGTGTAGTTGGTGTAGTGTTGTGTAGTGTTGTGTAGTGTTGTGTAGTGTTGTGTAGTGTTGTGTAGTGTTGTGAAGTGTTGTGTAGTGTTTGTGTAGTGTTGTGTAGTGTTGTGTGTAGTTGGTGTAGTGTTGTGTTGTGTAGTGTTGTGTGTAGTTGGTGTAGTGTTGTGTAGTGTTTGTGTAGTGTTGTGTTGTGTAGTGTGTGTAGTGTTGGTGTAGTGTTGTGTAGTGTTGTGTAGTGTTGTGTAGTGTTGTGTAGTGTTGTGTAGTGTTGTGTAGTAGTGTTGTGTAGTGTTGTGTAGTGTTTGTGTAGTGTTGTGTTGGTGTAGTGTGTTGGTGTAGTGTTGTGTAGTGTTGTGTAGTGTTGTGTGTAGTGTTGTGTAGTGTTGTGTAGTGTTGTGTAGTGTTGTGTAGTTTGGTGTAGTGTTGTGTAGTGTTTGTGTAGTGTTGTGTAGTGTTGTGTAGTGTTGTGTAGTGTTGGTGTAGTGTTGGTGTAGTGTTGTGTAGTGTTGTGTAGTGTGTGTTGTTGTGTAGTGTTGTGTAGTGTAGTGTTGTGTAGTGTTGTGTTGTGTAGTGTAGTGTTGTGTAGTGTTGTGTAGTGTTGTTGTGTAGTGTTGTGTGTAGTGTTGTGTAGTGTTGTGTTGTGTAGTGTTGTGTAGTGTTGTGTAGTGTGTTGTGTAGTGTTGTGTAGTGTTGTGTAGTGTTGTGTGTTGTTGTGTAGTGTTGTGTAGTGTTGTGTGTGTTGGTGTAGTGTTGGTGTAGTGTTGTGTAGTGTTGTGTATGTGTGTTGTGTAGTGTTGTGTAGTGTTGTGTAGTGTTGTGTGTAGTTGGTGTAGTGTTGTGTTGGTGTAGTGTTGTTGTGTAGTGTTGTGTAGTGTTGTGTAGTGTTGGTGTAGTGTAGTGTTGTGTAGTGTTGGTGTAGTGTTGGTGTAGTGTTGTGTAGTGTTGTGTAGTGTTGTGTAGTAGTTGGTGTAGTGTTGTGTAGTGTTGTGTAGTGTTGTGTGTAGTTGTGTGTGTAGTGTTGTGTAGTGTTGTGTAGTGTTGTGTAGTGTTGTGTTGTGTAGTGTTGGTGTAGTGTTGTGTAGTGTTGTTGTGTAGTGTTGTGTGTAGTTGTGTGTAGTGTTAGTGTTGTAGTGTTAGTGTGTTGTGTAGTGTTGTGTAGTGTTGTGTAGTGTTGTAGTGTTGTGTAGTGTTGTGTAGTGTGTGTGTTGTGTAGTGTTGGTGTAGTGTTGTGTGTGTGTGTGTGTAGTGTTGTGTAGTGTTGTGTGTGTTGTTGTGTGGTGTAGTGTTGTTGTGTAGTGTTGTGTGTAGTGTTGTGTGTGTTGTGTAGTGTGTGTTGTTGTGTAGTGTTGTGTAGTGTTGTGTAGTGTGTAGTGTTGTGTAGTGTGTGTGTAGTGTGTGTGTAGTGTTGTGTGTAGTGTGTGTTGTGTGTGTTGTGTGTGTGTGTTGTGTAGTGTTGTGTAGTGTAGTGTTGTGTAGTGTTGTGTAGTGTTGTGTAGTGTTGTGTAGTGTTGTGTAGTGTTGGTGTAGTGTGTGTGTGTTGTGTAGTGTGTGTGTGTGTGTGTTGTGTAGTGTTGTGTGTGTTGTGTGTGTTGTGTGTGTGTTGTGTTGGTGTAGTGTTGTGTAGTGTTGTGTAGTGTTGTGTAGTGTTGGTGTAGTGTGTTGTGTAGTGTTGTGTAGTGTTGGTGTAGTGTTGGTGTAGTGTTGTGTAGTGTTGTGTAGTGTTGTGTAGTGTTGTGTAGTGTTGTGTAGTGTTGTGTAGTGTTGTGTAGTGTTTGTGTAGTGTTGTGTAGTGTGGTACTAGGATGGTGTGTGTTCCTGGACAGAGAGCACAGACCAGAGCGACAAAGAGAAACGTGTAAAAATAGACAAACGCTGATTATACACACAACAGACACACACACGCACACACACACACACATACACACACATGTGTGCTTCATGTGTGAATGACAGGGTTAAATAACCTCTACGGAGAAAGAGAGGGAGGGAGATGGAAAGAAAGAGAGAAAGAGGAGAGGGAGGGAGTGAGAGAAACAGAGAGCTAGACTGACGGAGAGATAGAGGAGGGGACGGAGGGAGAGACATAGACTGGGATAGAGAAAGAGATGAGAAGTGAGAGAGAGGGGGATGAAGGAGAGAGAGAGGGGGGGAGAGACAAATAAACTGGGAGAGAGAAAATAGGGAAAGGGAGGGAGAGGAGAGAGAAAGAGGGAGAGACTAAGGGAGAGAGAGGAGAGAGCTTGAGAAAGGAGTGAAGCGAGAAAGAGTGAGAGAGAGAAAGAGCGGTCAATACGTGCGGCTGTGATTTCCAGGATTCACTGTCATCTAAACATAAAAAGCATTTGAGCTGCAGGTCAAAGTACTTGTGTTCTGTGTACTTCCCGCAAGCTGATGATACATGGAAGTGAATACTCATTTAGGCCAAGGATCGACTGGAGCGTCAGAATACTGAGAATAATAAAGTCTGTTCAGGGAACTTTCCAATAATAGAGCACACAGATACAGAGCTCTGATTGGACCATGTGACAGAACCACACAAACATTTACATGGAAGTATTCACTAAATACTTTTTAAAGTACTCTTCAGATCACTGACAATTATAGTAGCAGTAGTATATAGTTGCAGTAGAGGTCACAGCAGCAGCAGTAGTAGTAGTAGTTGTTGTAGTAGTAGTAGCAGTAGAGGTAACAGCTACAGTAGCAGTAGTATTAATTGCAGTAGTAGTAGTAATAGTAGTAGTAGTAGTAGTAGTAGTAGTAGCAGTAGCAGTAGTAGCAGTAGTAGAAGTAGTAGCAGTAGCAGTAGTAGTAGTAGTAGTAGCAGTAGTAGTAGTTGCAGTAGTAATAGTAGTATTAGTTGCAGTAGTAATAGTAGTAGTAATTGTAGTAGAGGTAACAGCAGTAGAGGTCACAGCAGTAGCAGTAGTAGTAGTAGTAGTAGTAGTAGTAGTAGTGGTGGTGGTGGTAGTAGTAGTAGTAGTGGTAGTAGTAGTAGTAGTGGTAGTAGCAGCAGTAGTAGTAGTAGTGGTAGTAGCAGCAGTAGTGGTAGTAGTAGTAGTAGTAGTAGTAGTAGTAGTAGTAGTAGTAGTAGTAGTAGTAGTTGCAGTAGTAACAGTTGCATTAGAGGTAGCAGCTGCAGTAGTAATAGTAGTAGTAGTTGAAGTAGTAATTGCAGTAGTAGTAGTAGTGATGACAGTTGTATTTGCAGTATTGTGTAGATTCTTGTAATAATACTGGCTCATTAGAATTGTCAGTGTTGGTTGCCGGTATGATTGCTGTATATTGTGCCTGTTGGCAAGACACTTTACCCAGTGTGTTATTGTGTGTTTGATGGAGAGACAGTCTGCTGCTGGAGACTTTAGTACCACAGAATATTAGCCATGTGTGTGTCAGTCTGCCCCAGGACGACTGTGGCTGTGAAGCGTGGTTATATACTCACTTATAGTCGTGGTAATAATAACTTCTAGAAATGATACTGTATATATTTTTGATTTTTAGTTGCCTAGCTTTTCTTTTCGCTTCAGTCCTCCCTTTTGCCTAAAACCTCTTTGTATTTCTGCTTCCCAAACCGTACCTCTCCCTCTGATCCTATTCGTACCAATTTTTTTCTCCGTAAATATGAACTGAAGAGGATCTCCCCTCTCCTCCTCCTCTGCTCCCCCTGCAGGCCTAGAGAAATATTACACTTCATTCAAACTTAAATGTGACAATGTGTTTCATTGTAGTCAGCCGAAAGCAGCCGTCCACAACATGAATGACGCGCTGCTCTTGTCCACCGGGGGGCACACTCCCAACAAGAGGTAAGAATCAAACAGGAGGAGGGTCAGAGCATGGATCTATTCAGATAACTGGATAGTGTGTTGCTGCTTGTAGTTGTCTTAAGTTGACGTAGTGACACTCACTGGTACTTCAGTGAGAAAAATCCCTCTGGCCGAGAAAGGATTTTTCCCATAGAGCACAATGTAATCACAAAGTACTTGTGTTCAGCTGACAGGCACATGCTGCTTTCAGAAATGTTGGATTTTGGGGCAATTTTTACCTATTTTTAGATCATAAACTTTTTCTCAGCTCAAAATCCTTCAGTTGTCTTAAAAACTGCTTTTTAATGGTTGGCTCTGGCTCTAGCTCCTCTCGTCACTGACTTGAATGGGTGGCCATTTTTAGATCCCAGGGTTGGGTTAGAAACAGTGACATAGAAGAAGAAGAGTGGGCTGATGAATTTGAGCTAGAGGTGTGACATGCATAGACGAAAATATAATGCCAAAAATAGTAAAAAAAAAAAAAAAAAAAAGGAAGCAAAAAGAGCTGCAGTAACTTAGAGCAAAGTGTACAAACTGATTAATAAGAGGATGTACCAACAGAGAGGAGAAAGCAGCACAGGACCACAGTCTGCTGTCCATCTGCAAAACCAAAGGCCACTGAGGACAGTGAGGGACACATCTAAGCCACACAGAAGAAATGGTTTGAGAGTAAAAGAGACTATTTTTGTTAGGAAAGACAATCCATGTTTGAACAGAAAAGGAGCTCGCAGACATCATCTCTCTCCTATTTACAACTCTATCCTCACATCTAAATCGAAACAAAGAAAACTATTTATTTTTTTTATGTTTATTAAGGACATCACAATCACATTAGACAAGCCAGATGCTCTGCTTTGAGTGTTTTAGCACAAGTGCTAGTTTTCAACACCTACTAAGAAAAAAATAATAATCTACATGCATATAAAATGCATGCATCAAAACAAATGAGACACATTAGTTACATTTAGAATGGATTTATTTGGAGGATAAGCCCCTTGAGATGTCGAGGGGTGTACATACAGATCCAACATTATCACATTTTAAGTGAGAGCATTTTTGGTTGGAAACATACAATAATTTAAATGGACTTTTAAATGTGTTGCTGTTGAATAACAATAGTGATGGTCTGTTCAAGCTCAGAGGTGCTAAAGTGGGGACAAGATGTCATGCCACAAGATCAAACACACAAGAGAGAAATGATCTTCTGAGTTTTTTTGTGTTTACATTTGGATTGGACAAAAAAGCATCACATGTTGGTGAGTTCCATCTCTTACAGTTTCAAAAGCAGGATTAGAATGGAAACAAAATTATGAAACCAAGTAAATACAAATTTGCAAGGCTAAAACTGGAAACAGAGCCATGAAATTTGTACATTAGGAATTATGTTAAAATCTCGCCTCGTCTCGAGGACCTAATCTCATATCTCATCCCTAGAAAGCACCTGTCAGGGGCCTGAATGATTCTGCTAATATGACTCAGGCACAGTCTTCACTCAGTGCAGTTCAACAGACTGAGCTAACAAACAGAAACAAGTGTAAAGAGTGTGTGTGTTTGTTCCAGAGGAGTTTCAGTGTAGTTAGCTCCTCTCTTCAAGCAGATATAAGGCAGTGTCCACCAGCGTCTGACCACAACTGAAGAAACTGCTTGGATGAACTGAGACACATTTTTGATCAAAAAACTTTTCTCCCTATATTTGTGGAGACCAAACCAGACCAAATCAGATCTGTGGAGAGGCGCTCACAGTCAGAATGTCTGTTTTTCTAGGTATTTTTGAGCCATAAATCAATCTAAAGCAAAAGAAAAATGAGGAGAAACTTGAGATTGTAACCAAGACTCTAAGAAAAGTTTTTGAGATTTTCTCGGATCGTTTGTCACATTTGGGTTCAGACGGTGGCAGATGTTACGGGAGCTTCACAGTTGACACATATTTCGCAGATTGTCGCCTCAAGTTTATTTTTAGATGAAAAATGTGTTCCACCATCACAGAGCAAAGAGACGGAGACTCCAATGTGCTGAGCTGACACAGAGACCGAGAAGAAGAAGAGAGCTGTGTTCAGTAAATGAGGAGAGAGGGAAGAAAGAGAAAAGAGAGAGGGAGGAGAGAGAGAAAAGAGAGAGGAGAAAGAGAAGCAAGAGAGAGAGAGGAAGGAAAGAAAAAGAGGCAGGAGCGGGAGAGTGTGAAAAGGAGAGAGAGAGAAGGGAGAGAGAGAGAGAGAAACATAGATATGTATAGAGGGAGAGAGAGGCAGAAAGAGAGAGTGAGAGAGAGGAATGAGAAGAGAAATGGAGAGAACACACAGAGAGGTATAGAGAGAGACAGAGGAGATAGAGGAGAGAAAGAGAGCATATAAGATGCAGGGAGTGAGAAGGGAAAGAGAGTGAGAAAGGCTCCATGTCTGAGAGTTGTTTCTCCTGTAAATTCTGTTATATAAGTCTTGACCAGCAGATGGAGTCTTGAGCCCTCTCTCTCTCTCTTCTTCTTCTCTTCTTCTCTGTTTGTGTTTGGCGTCCGTCTGTTCCGAGCTCTGACTCTGCAAATGTCACAGACTCCAGCCAAAGCTCTGGGAAAACTTCAGCAAATGTCACATGGTGTTTGGAAGTTTTCCTATAGAAGGAAAAGAGACAGTTTTATGTAATGGGGAATATCAGGAGCAAGACTGATGATGTGTGTAGTGTTTTAGACCTGGTTTAGTTCTGGTTTAGTCCATCTTTTTTGGGGTGTCCTGGTCTTTAGAGATCAGTGTCCATCAGAGGGGCCTAGACCTGGTTTAGTATTAAACCACTCTGCATGATCCTGGTTTTTTTAATTTGCTATTTTGTCCATAAATTTTGTCCATGAACATTAATAACAGACAAATCGGGCATCTTTTTTCCTTGAGGTCACTCCCTCTAGCATTAGCAACAGGTTTGATTGACAGCGTTGCTAAGGGCCTGCTCCCTGTTAAACGAGGTGAGGGGGTAATGAGCGTGAGGCGAGAACACACTGCACACATGTCATTCTGCACAAGTGTAAACACTGTGTGTTTTGGACGTGTATATTTAGAATGTATTCAAAGTGAATGAGCACAGCCACACTGCCAGCACTGGGTGTGTGTGTGGAGCTGTACGTCCTGCATGCATAGATGTCAGAAAATAGAATCCAACCTATTTTTGAGGCTTGACTCGAGCGTAGGTGTGAATCCCCATCAGAATCTATAGAAAACATGCATCTGTTGTTGATTTTGTGCAATTACCATCAGCACAAGGTGTTCCTGAGGCAGTTGTGTGTTGTTTGTAGGAGTGCAGATTCAGAGAGACTGTGTTTTCAAATTTACTTTGGAAATGTGATCAGCCTGCACAGGCCGTAAATACAAGCACATTCAGCTGGTTAGTTTCACTGTAGACCTGTTAAAGTGGCTAAACGTGCTCAGTCAAGTCTGATCGTCTTTCCCTTCGAGAAACACAGAGACACAGATGCCCTGCTGGAGAGGTGTGGTTGTAGACGTGTGGTTGGAGATGTGTGGTTGGAGACGTGTGGATGTAGATGTGTGGTTGGAGATGTGTGGTTGTTGATGTGTGGTTGGAGTCGTGTGGTTGTTGATGTGTGGTTGGAGTCGTGTGGTTGGAGTCATGTGGTTGGAGAGTGTGGTTGGAGATGTGTGGTTGGAGTCGTGTGGTTGGAGATGTGTGGTTGGAGTCGTGTGTTGGTTGTGTTGGTTGGAGATGTGTGGTGGAGTCGTGTGGTTGAGATGTGTGGTTGGTTGGAGATGTGTGGTTGGAGATGTGTGGTTGGAGATGTGTGGTTGGAGTCGTGTGGATGTAGATGTGTGGTTGGAGATGTGTGGTTGGAGATGTGTGGTTGGAGATGTGTGGTTGGAGTGTGTGGTTGTTGATGTGTGGTTGGAGATGTGTGGTTGGAGTCGTGTGGTTGGAGATGTGTGGTTGGAGTGTGTGGATGTAGATGTGTGGTTGGAGATGTGTGGTTGGAGATGTGTGGTTGGAGTCGTGTGGTTGTTGATGTGTGGTTGGAGATGTGTGGTTGGAGATGTGTGGTTGGAGATGTGTGGTTGGAGTCGTGTGGTTGGAGATGTGTGGTTGGAGTCGTGTGGTTGGAGTCGTGTGGTTGGAGATGTGTGGATGTAGATGTGTGGTTGGAGATGTGTGGATGTAGATGTGTGGTTGGAGATGTGTGGTTGGAGATGTGTGGTTGGAGTCGTGTGGTTGGAGATGTGTGGTTGGAGATGTGTGGATGTAGATGTGTGGTTGGAGATGTGTGGTTGGAGTCGTGTGGTTGGAGATGTGTGGTTGGAGATGTGTGGATGTAGATGTGTGGTTGGAGTCGTGTGGTTGTTGATGTGTGGTTGGAGTCGTGTGGTTGGGAGATGTGTGGTTGGAGTGTGTGGTTGGGAGATGTGTGGTTGGAGATGTGTGGATGAGATGTGTGTGTTGAGTCGTGTGGTGTTGATGTGTGGTTGGAGTCGTGTGGTTGGAGATGTGTGGTTGGAGTCGTGTGTTTGTGGTTGGAGATGTGTGGTTGGAGATGTGTGGTTGGAGATGTGTGGTGTGGAGATGTTGTGGTTGGAGATGTGTGGTTGAGTGTGGTGTGTTGATGTGTGGTTGGAGATGTGTGGTTGGAGATGTGTGGTTGGAGATGTGTGGTTGGAGATGTGTGGTTGGAGTCGTGTGGTTGGAGATGTGTGGTTGGAGTCGTGTGTGGTTGAGATGTGTGGTTGGAGTCGTGTGGTTGGAGATGTGTGGTTGGAGATGTGTGGTTGGAGATGTGTGGTTGGAGATGTGTGGTTGGAGTCGTGTGGCTGACGTGTGACTGGTTTCACGAGGTTACGCATGTAAACACCAACATGTGCAGTGTTGTTTGTGATAGAAGTTTTGAGTGTGTCCAAGAAAGAGTGAAAGTAAAAGGCTGGAGACCAAGTGCACGACTTAAACAGGAGAAGTTTATTTATCATCACTAAGACAAGCCCGGGGACTTGAAGAGTCAACATAGTGTGATTTCAAAATCT